AAAAATTCACAACAAATTAATAATTAAAAAAAAATAAAAAAATAAATAAATTACACAGATCAAATTCGACAGCTTGCTGTCGAAAATTCATCAAAATTCGACAGCTATCTGTCGAATTACCAAAAATCCAATTTCAAGATTTCGCATTTTTCGACATCTATATGTCGATTTGTGATGAATTTTCGACATCAACCTGTCGAAAATTCATCAAAAATCGACATATACAGGTCGAAAAATGTGAACGAAGAACCGACCCACGAATCTCAAATCAATGCTCAAATCGACTGAAATTAGATGCACCCATTACTAATTAACGATCATTTCTACCTAAAACAATCAAATCCTAGTTACCCATATCAAACAATCAAACCTTAAATAAATATTAAAGAAAAAAAAATCGAAACAAATATTACTTGTATTCGAAGACGACGACGGCGGCGGGCTTGGGCGACGTTGGGCGGCGTACGGCGGTGTTTGGCGTCGGCGTCCGGCGGCGGCGAGGGTTGGAGCGGCGGCGGCGTCCGGCGGCGTGGGAGGGGTTGACGGAGGTTTTTTTTTTGTGTTTGAAAGTTTTTTTTTTCTTTTTTTTTTATTTGGTTTTCAAATATGTAATTTCAATGAAAAATTGATATAATTAATATTTTGTATGAAAGGGTGTTTTTGTACTTTTCTTTTTATTTTGGTATTAAAGTGAGAAAAAACTTATAAATATATACTCAATTGTGGTTTTCAACTTGGTAGTATTCAAGTAAGCAAAAGTTAGTATTTGAAATAGTTGCCCCCTTTAATGAATTATGATATTCTCCATATTTTTCTTACGGGTCAAATATAAGGAACGGTATTAATTCATATTCTTTTGGGGGCAGCAACCCCCATTATTTCTCTTAGTTACCTCCGCATGCAGCATTGTACAGTAAAATCTCGATAAATTAATAATATTGCTTAAATAATTATATTTTTCGGTTCCAAGTTGGTAAAAATGTATAAAATTATTAACTCGATAATTTAATATTTCGCTAAATTAATAGAATTTTGCTTGTTCCGACCGTATTAATTTATAGATGTTTAACTGTATTTTGAGTCCGATTTGGGTGGCCGATGATTGCTAAACATCGATTATGGTAAAATATATATATATTTATTTATAACTCAATGTTAACAAAATAGTTTAATCAAATAAAACACAAAAACTGAAGCTTGTATCACAAGAAACCCGAAAGCTAGACGTGGTGAATCTCAATACTCAATCTCAAAAAATACATAACTACGAACACCAATTCGTTTCCTTTTCATTATTTTCTCTCTCTAAAAAAATAAAAATTATGGGTGATAAATTTGTTTTCTACTGTTGCTTTGGTCCTTTTATGTGTTATTCGGCCTTGAGGCTGGGTTATGCACTCGTTGAATGGATTGATTGATACGGGTGATAAGCCACTCCGTAAACCTAGGGCAATAAACCCCGTTGCACACCCTAGAAACTCCGTTCCAGCAAAAGTAAAGGCGGCTGAGCCAAACTCCGTCTCGATCGGAATAAAGCCGCATGAGCTTCCGGCCAATGTCGATGATGAGGGTATGTTTTACAAGTTTCTATTTTCCTTTACTGAGAATCATGAAGCTATTTTGTTTATTTAATTTTTTTTAAACTTTTTGTGTGGTTTGTTAGAATCTATTGTAGTGGAAAATTCGCCAGCACACTTTCTGACAAAGATTGAATCTTTCTCTTTATTTTCCGACTACGGAATTGATAAGTATGAAACGAGAGAATTTGAAGCCGGCGACTATAAATGGTGGTTTGCTATGAATTATTTATGGATTTTTGTTTATTGTGCTTAGTCAGCTAGATATTTATGGTTTTTTTTTTGCTTTTGATAGGAGACTGATAATCTATCCGAATGGTAAAGAAAAAGGAGATCATATTTCTGTATATTTGGCCATGGCCGAAACTAGTTATTTGCCCATGAATTGGGAGTTCAATGCCATCTTCACCATCTTCCTTTATAATCAAATATCAGACAAATATCTTTGTTTTCGATTGAAACGAGGTCG